ATTCCCAACACCATGTCGATTTTTTCCACACTAATTACCAAAATTTCACATTTTTCTGTTAGAATAAATCCATCACAAGGCTTGATAGAACGTTATTATTAAGATAGATACGTGAGAGAAAAAGGAGGTGTTAGGAAGTGAAGATTATGAAGTTAACCATGGTAGTTGACGACTGACCTTTGACATGAATAGGTAAATTTTTATAGTTATCAGGGAAACGCCAAGCAAAAATGAGGCAGTCGAAATGCTGTTTGGGTCGAAATTTCTTTTTACCTTTGGAACATGGGAGAAATAAGGTTGTTTCGTTTTCGTGGAAGTGGCATGACGTAACCTAATTCTAAATGTCTAAACTGTTGAAACAAAAATGTTGCCCATCTGAGCCTGGCATGAAAGTTGCAATAATGTATTGAGCGCTTTGTGACTGTGGACAATATGTCTTCCCCAACAAGACAATCTAAAGGATTTTGAACTTTACCAAGGCTAGAGAGAGAGGACAGATATGCTCTAAACCAAGCAGGACATCATTTTGGTCTAATAAGATCTATTTAAGGTTATAGAATTACAAGAGGAGTCTGGTAATAACTGACGACATTAGATTTAAACTCAAGCTTTAATAACGTTTATTAACATTTATGTGTCTCTTTTCCGTCTTTCCACGCGATCAAATAGGAATAGTACATTATTTATAAGGTATTGGCAGAGCGCAACGGTCGTGCTATTAAAGGAAGTTAGAGGGTACAGATGAAATGTTTGGAATTCACAGCTTTTTTCATTTCCCTGAAACAGACATTAAACACTTCTAATTTCTCTTCTTTCTTATTTTCTTTCTTTCTTTCTTTCTTTCTTTCTTTCTTTCTTTCTTTCTTTCTTTCTTTCTCATTTTCTTTCTTTTTATTTTCTTTCTTTCTTTCTTATTTTCTTTCTTTCTTATTTTCTTATTTTCTTTCTTTCCTTCATTTTCTAACTGAAACCATTATTTAAGAGTTATTGGCAGAGCGTAACGGTCGTGCTAAAGGAGGGCAGAATTATAAGAAAATATGGAATCGGTACAAAATAGGCATTTGTAGAAATAAAGGTATCAGTTAACTTCTAAAATCGTCAATACACTAAAGCACTAACAGAAAATAATAGGTTCAACTACACTTCTTTGATTTTAATCATAATTGCCTCATAAACCTGGAGTCTATTAAGAGGACCAACTCTAGCTGTACAAATATTTTCATCTCCGATTAAAACTGTATTTTAATCACAAGTATTTCAAAGATTTAAGGGGAAATAATAGAGCGAAGAAGTTAAAGAACAAACCCGAAATGATTCATATAACCTAAATATTTGTTTGCGATTTCTTTCAGAACAAACCGTAAATCATCGACCAAGACATCGACGTCGAAAGTAAAGATAATAAAACAAATTATAAAAACTATTCAAGCGACCTGTTTCAGTTCAGAATAAGTGACAAACCCGTGTGAAAATAAAATATTTGAGGAAGTTTTCTTTAATTGTTTTGTTGTTTATAGTAAGGCTCAACCTTTACTAGGCCCGTCCTGGCTATGTCGATAAACTACATCCGCGTCCTGGGTAAGACGACAAACTACATTCAACAGCAATGCCTCTGATCAGGAGCTTTTAAGGAGCATGGAACCATCTCTTAATTGCTGGTGTTCCTAGGTCCACCCTGACCCGGGGTGGTAGTACCTGTTAAGGTCTCAGCTGTGGACAAATAGTTGACCCCACAACCTGGCTCAAAACACTATGACGGATTGTACACAAGTTGATCTCTGATCAGTATCAGCTTGGTCATCTGAGAGTGGAGGTATGATGTTGAAAGACCTGAAGCCCCTAATGAACCTTGGCTAAAAATATCACTGATGATGTCTGCCAAAGAATCTAACAGACGTATTTCGCAACAAAAAAAAAGGAAAGAAATTAATGTTAATGGAAGCATTTGAGGTTTTTAAAAAATTAAGTAAGATTTTTCCTTCTTCTTTTAATCTTAGCATTTATTTTCTGTTTTTTATATCTAAGCATCCTGGGTATGACAATAAACTACATCCGCGTCCTGGGTAAGACGATAAACTACTTCCAACAGCAAGGCCTCTGATCAGGAGGTTTTGAGGAGCGTGAAACCACCTCTTAATTGCTGGCGTTCCCAGGTCCACCCTGACCCGAGGTGGTAGCACCTGTTAGGGTCCCAGCTATGGGCAAATAATTAACCCCGAAACTGGGCTAAAAACACTACGAAAGTGTAAAAAGAGGTTTTAATACCAGAAATACTTAAAAAAATTATTACCAGCAATAAATTTTTGAAGAAAAATAACTTATTACCAGCAATACATTTTTGAAAAAAAAATATTACCAACAATGTTTTTAAAAAATAAATATTACTAGCAATACATTTTTGAAGGAAAAAAATTAGCAAAAATAGATTTTTGACAAAACAAAATATTACCAGCAATAAAAATTGTCGACATTAAATAACCCATTGTGGTTGATATGCTGTAAAACAAACCAAACCAAACTAAAACTCAAACACTAATCTCCATTACATAGATTTTTGTAGTAAGATTCACCCTGTACAAGACCCGGGAGCCACTCGAGGTAGAGAATTACAAAGTAAGAGGAACAGCTTATGCGCATATGTGGAGAAGATAACGGTTAACTCTCGGCTTGAACAGATTAAGATTGTAGTGATCAGAAAACCATCCTCTTGGGAGTCGGTTCCACATTTCAGTGCGGGGAGAAGCTGTTTGAGTCGAACTTACTTTTCACCAAATGGAATACGAAGGAAATGTAGGTAGTTTGATACTATGTAAGTGACATGGCAGGTTCTGTCTGTGAAGGGTAGACCTGGCGGAACCCAAGGATGGAGTTCTACCGTGCACTTTCCACTGAAGTAGCGATAAATCAGTGAGGGGTTCGCCACATCCCACCTGTCAGCTTACGGTCAAATCACGCTGAAACACCGGTTCTCGTACGATCACCGAAGTTAAACAGCGTAGAGCCAGGTCAGTACTTAGATGGGGGACCGCTTGGGAACACCTGGTACTGTAAGCCCCCAAAGTCCAACCCCTTACTTCACAGTCGGTGGGGGGTGTAAACGGTAGTGTCAGAGTTATGCCGCCCGGAACTTCGTTCCTGGTAGGGCCACCCAAGGCGGACAGGTCTGACACACACGCCGGCTAACAAGGGCTCTGGTGAAAATCCAAGGAGCGTCTGCATCGGTAACCGGCGGCTTCTGGTCGTTCCTGTCTCTGCGTCTGTGGGAACCCCGCGTTATCCGAGTAGGCCTGGGTACCCTACTTCTGTAATTTATCCCAAGAATCTTCTTCTCATAACAGGAAGAAGCCGGCTCAATCCGCCCAGGGTGAATGCCGCATCAGTACAGTACAGTACATCCCACCTGTGAGAGACAGAGGTTGGAGGGTGGAAAATAATTTGTCACCTAGGGTGGGGTTTGCTACAATGTATATTGCATGGCGGGTCCTAGCTGTGACGATTAGAGCTGGTGGCCTATTGTATTTTGCATCAGACTGACACACAGAAGTCGAAACAATTATACGGTCATAGTTGATTCCCTATTTTCAGAAAGCAGTGTAGTTTTTGACTTCTTGCAAAAAGAAAGTGCCTTAAGCATTCTTGTAAAAGCTTAGACAAAAAAAAAAAAATGTTATTCAAACACCTTCAATCTTTTCACCCTATTTGGTGATCATTTTGTCAAATCAGCCCATAGGATCCATTAAGGGAATGCAAAAGAAAAAAGACAGTAAACTGAAACCTTTTAACTTAAATGTATGGTTGGGACGAGAATAAATAAACAGGTTCCATTCCGAGGTCATTCTGTCGAGTTTCACAGTTGGGTTGGGTTTTGTCAGTGTTTTTGTCTGTCGTTCCAAAAACATTTCGAAAAAGCAAAAAAGCCATTCATGGGAATGGAAATAGTTTCAGATCAGAAGAAATCGGTGTGGGGGAAAAGAAAGAAAGAAAGAAAGAAAGAAAGAAAGAAAGAAAGAAAGAAAGAAAGAGAAAGAAAGAAAGAAAGAAAGAAAGAAAGAAAGAAAGAGAGAAAGAAAGAATATGGACAACGACACTGACTTCTATTTCTTTTACTATTACCAGGAGAGGAAAATTAAAAAAAAAACAGGAAAGGGTAAAAAGAAATTGTCTCGTTTCTTTTCATAGTCGAGTTACCTATATAGGGATATATATATATATATATATATATATATATATATATATATATATATATATAGAGAGAGAGAGAGAGAGAGAGAGAGAGAGAGGGGAGAGACAGAGAAAGAAAGAGAGGTGAACATAGGTAGATATGAACAAGCTGAGATAGATAGATAGATAGATATGAACACACTGAGATAGATAGATAGATAGATAGATTGATAGATAGATAGATAGATAGAGAGATAGATAGATATACAATGAAAAAAAAGGAGGTAGGTACATACAAACAAACTTAGATAGATAGATAGATAGATAGATAGATAGGCGTGAACAGACTGAGATAGATAGATAGATAGATAGATAGATAGATAGATAGATAGATAGATAGATAGATAGGCGTGAACAGACTGAGATAGATAGATAATGAACGAACTTAGATATAAAAAATAATCATAGATAGATAGATAGATAGATATGAACACAATGAGATAGATAGATAGATAGATAGATAGATAGATAGATAGATAGATAGATAGATAGATAGATAGAACACACTAAAACAGACAGACAGACAATGAACAAACTGAGGTAGATATAAACAAACTTTCATAAATAGATACATAGAGAGGCGAGGGCAGACTGAGATAAATCGATATCGATCACCTGTTGCAATCCGTATTTGTCTACTACAGAGCATAACGGGTCGAATCTTATCGAATGCCATTTCTATGGAATTCATAATTTTAAGTGATTTGCAACCGAACACTTCCGTTAGTAATTGAAGGCAATTCTTCAAATAGCAATGAAAATAGTAAAACGTCTGGTCAGATACTTCCTTCATACCACATCCCATGCCCATATTAATTGCACGTAGAAAAACTGGAAAATTCTTACATTTTTTATTAAATTCCCAACAAATAAAAAAGTCCAGACTGTTGAAAAAATGCGTCAAAAATTGATATTCCGCTTAAATAGTACAAAAACCCTGCCTTGCTAAAATTAACAATTGTCTTATAATAATAGTAATATATATATATACACACACACACACACACATATATATATATATATATATATATATATATATATGTGTGTGTGTGTGTGTGTGTGTGTGTGTGTAAGAGAAAGTTTATGTTTTTTTATTTATTAATCCGACAAATTTTTATTTCTTAAACTTATCCAAATATATTTATCCACTAAAATAACTTCTAATTAATATATATATATATATTTTAAGAGATTCACCCCATAAGTTATGTCCGAATTTTAACTTTTTGTTAAAATGAACGAAATTTAAAGAGTATTTTATAATGTCTAATGGATCTGAACATTATTTTTATGTTTAGATGCATGTAAACTGATCAAATTTTATTTCAGAGAACAATAAAATTTAATTTTGTTTGATTAAAACCCTGATTAAAAAAATGGAACTACCCAAGAATCATTTGAGGCACATAATGCTTTATGAGTTCAAGAAAGGAAACTCAGCAGCCGAAACAGCTAGAAACATTCACTCAATTTATGGAGAGGAATGTGTGAATGAAAGAACTTGCAGAAGATGGTTTGCAAAATTCAGAGGTGGAGATTTCACACTTGAAGATGAAGATCGAACAGGACGTCCAGTTGAGTTTGATGAAAAGCTTCTTGAAGCAGCCCTTGAAGAAAATCCTGCTTTATCAGTGGAGGAATTGGCAGTGGTTCTCAGTTCAAACCATCCAACTGTTCATCGACATCTTCAACAACTTGGAAAAGATCCCAAACTTAGAAAATGGGTGCGTCATGAATTGTCTGAAAACAACCTCAAATCCCGAGTTGACATCTGCTCTTCTCTCCATTCTCGCCAACTTGTTTCACCTTTTTTTGGATAGACTTGTGACTGGCGACGATAAATGGATCTTTTATCGAAATGTTAAGTGTCGTAGACAGTGGCTTGGTAGAGGGAAAGGACCCCAGACACAGCCGAGAAGGGAACTTCATGGGCAAAAGGTTCTTCTTTCAATCTGGTGGGATCGCCAAGGAATAATCCACTTTGAATTTTTACAACCTAATGCAACAATTAATGCTCAAATATTCTGTCACCAATTAGAGCGTTTGAACCAAGATTTGACGAAAAAAAAGACCTGCTCGAGTGAATCGAAAAGAGGTGATGTTTCATCAGGACAATGCGCGACCCCACACAGCAATAATCAGGTCACAAAAGATCGAAGAACTTGGTTGGGAGAAAATTCCTCATCCACCTTATTCTCCCGATCTTGCTTCTTCAGACTACCATTTGTTTCGTAGCTTACAGAATCATTTGGAAGAAACAGCTTTTGTAACACAGGAAGACATTTGTGAGTTCTTCGAATCAAAGCCAAAAGAATTTTACAGTAATGGAATTAGTAAGCTTGTTAATAGATGGAAGGACGATAATGGGTATGTCACTATTCACATAAATACAGTAGTAAATACTGTATGTTGGTCTGCAGTTGGAGATTCGTCAACAGTTGTGCTGGTCAAACTCTCTGCCCCCGGACAGAGAGGATCCCCAGATGAGGCTCTGTTGAATGGTAGAGTCTCGTCTCGGGAAACAGCGACCCGACCCGTTTTATACGGGGTCTACGAGGAATTTTTGGCCGAGCCTACGGGCTCGGATACCCCACATTAAATTCAGCCTTGTGCCACAATTGACCGCCTGGGGCGGTTGGTAAATATCCTGCAGTTGGGGATTCATTGTGGAATTCACTTGACTCACTTCAAGCAGTTGACTACTTCTACGCGCCGCTGGCGAATCTTATACGAGTTGTTCTTGCCCTAAGTATTATCGTTCATTACCAACCTTCATGCGATTATTCTATTCAGTAACCTTCCCTAGGTTAGAACAATAATGAAATGGATTAAGACCGACAATTATATATTTTCTGTTTTTATTTTTATATATACAATTTATGCTCTATTTTTTTGTGTGTGTATATAGACATGTATACATATACATACATATAATTTGTTACATAAAATAGAATTCCTTGATAACATAAGATGGAAGACTGAGTTTTCAGCCTCAAAATATGAAGATAGAAAGAAGAAAATGAAAGAAATTATTTTGTTTTAGAATCATGAGATCCCTCCCCCCGCCCCGTCGTGGATGCATTGATTATCATTGATTACGTTAGGCATTATGGATAAAATTGATTTTACAACTATTAAGAAGAGCTTTTCAAAAATGCTAGCAAATGATATAAGTAAAATTAAAAAGTCGTCGAAAATACTAGTAATGGTCGATAAAATTGGTATCATATATGCAATAGGTCCAAGTGAATATAAAAAGAAAATTAGAGATGAGCTTACTACATTTTATATGAAGGCACCAGATATATTGCTGAAATCTATGGCGACGGCCAAAATGCAACCCCCCATTTTAAAATAGGCCACAGGGTCAAACAATTAGATAAAAGAATAGCTTTTATAATGATTAAGGACCCAAAACAGATGTTTATAAACAACACATCGTTTCAGCTGATTAATCAAACGAAAATGGAGTTGGCTAAGATTAGTATTGTTTTTATAGTAAGGGTCACATTTTATAAGATCCGGGCACCACTCGAGATAGAGGGTTACGTCAGGAGGCAATTTGTGCTGACAGGAGGGGAAGCTAACAGTTAACGCTAGCTTTGAACAGGTTAAGATTGTGGGCATCTGAAAAACATCCTCTTAGGAATCGGTTCCACAGGGCAGTGGTTCGTGGGATGAAGCTGTAAGAATGGAACTTTCTTCTCACCGATTGAATTCGCGGGTAGGGGATGTGGGGGGTTGCTACTATGTAAGTGGCATGGAGTGTCCTTGCCGTGAAGGTTGGAGTCGGCGGGACGAGGGAATATAGTTCGTCCGAACACTTTCAGTAGCGGTAGAGCAGTGATAGGTTTGTCACATCCTGCCTGTGGGAGGTAGAGAGTGAGAGAGAAAGAAATTCAATGATGAGGTAAAAAAAATTGATATGACAGGCCCAAGATGCGGAGTAATTCAAAGACGAAGGCGAAAATGCAACCTCCCTTTTTTTGAAACAGACGACAAGGTACAGCAATTAGATAAAACAAAAGCTTTTATAACTTTTAAGAACGATAAGCGACTCATCCTTCCGGCTGGTAGATGAAACGAAAACGTAGTTGGGTAAGATTAGTAAAATAATCTTCCAAGAAATCTGTGATAAATTACGGGTAGCTACCCGAGTAAATCAGTGAAGGGATAAGGCTTATCTTATGTTTGATAAAATAGATCTTCATCAACGATCTTCCTGACGCCATAGATTCCCAAGTAGGCATCTACGCGGACGACACTACAATTTACTCCTGCCTCAAAAACAAATCTAGTGTTGTTGACAAAACTAACCTGGCCGTTCGTCTCGAAAAGGACCTACAAACGGTTGTGAACTGGGGCAGGAATTGGCTGGTTAACTTTAATGCCTCAAAAACAAAACTGCTTTCTATTACTCACCACAGAGAACTATCCCTGCACCCCATTAGAATGTCTGACGCTAAACTTCTCGAGAGCTCCTTTTTGCGCCTACTCGGTCTCACATTGTCTACTGACGTGAGATGGAACAAATACATTGAGTCAATACCTTCGTCCACCGCAAGGAAAGTTGGCTCCCTGTGCCACGACAGGAAATTTTTCTCGTCGAAGTCAATCCTTCAAATCTACAAATCAACCATTTGACCTTGCATGGTATATTGCTGCCATATATGATCTGGAGCCCCTTCTGTTTACCTCGGGGTTCTTGATAAAATCCAGAGACAGATATGCAATGTAATTGGCTCTGATATGGCATCTCGTCTGCAGTCGTTCTCTCACAGATGTGCCGTTGCCTCCCTCTGTCATTTTTACAAATACTTTCACGGTAACTGCTCTGGGGAGATGCTTTCGCTGGTTCCCAGACTTCATAAAGTTAAGCGCTCAACTAGGCTAGCATCTCGCTCACATCCTTTTACTGTCGAAACTGTTAAATGTAGCCGTCTCTTCTACTCTAATAGCTTCACATCCCGCACTTCTCGCCTGTGGAATTCCTTCCCCATTTCTTCTTTCCCTGATAGCTATAATCTCTAACTATTCAAATGTAATGTCAATCGATGTAACAGAGAGGTTGGTTTTCTGAATTTCTTGTGTCTTAAATTGATTTAGATATTTTAACAGGTTTTTTTTTGGGGTGTCAAATATTGATTTTTTTTTATCAAAAGTAAGATATTTGAATTGAATTTTACCGGAGACCGCATATTTCTCTAATAAGATTTCTGGACTATTCAGGCCGGTAGATGGAAATAAAAAAAAAAATGATGTTTAATAAATATATGGTGCATCTATTCAAATATGGGTATCCATTAAAAATAAAGTTTAATGAATAAATTAAAATATATCGGATTAATCAATAAAACATCCCTTCCTAAAACCAGGGTATGCCAAAAAAAAAAAAAACTTTGTATAAACATTTGGGTGCTGTTTCCTTGCACCAAAACAAGGGCAAAAAGTTCATATGAACATATGTCCACAAAATCATTCGTTTTTGAGTTAATACGTTTAAAACTTACGGTAAACGCTATTAAATGTACAATCCAAGATATAATTTTAAAAATACTTATGCCATAGTTTGTGATGACACGGGTTCTGTTTCAGCAAGGCAAAGATAAACAAAAAGTTGGATGACTCGGCTACTTTCGGTCTAGAAACGTAATCTGATACAGCCTTGCATCTATTATCAGTCGCCTGGCAGTATATATATATATATAAATATCTGCGGGCTCATGACATGAACATCCTGCCATTGTTAAACGGAAAACTTCTCAGTTAACTTATATGAAATTCTGTCCTTGTTTAATGAGTTTAATGAACCTGTCCCACTAAGTATTAAAAGTATCACTTGATACACCATATATATATATATATATATACGTTAAAAAAAGATTTCTTCAAGGTATGCTATATTTATGGGTTAAAGTGCTCAATATCAGGGACTGAGCGTATATAAATATAACAGTGGACACTGAAGTCAACACTCAGAGGCGACAGACTGTTTCATGCTAAACTCATTGTCGCCGCTAGGTGACGCTAGAGGTGTTAAGCTCAATGGTCGCTTTTGATATATGTATATATATATATATATATATATATATATATATATATATATATATATATAAATATAAATATATATATATATATATATATATATATATATATATATATATATATATATATATATATATATATATATATATATATATATATATATATATATATATATATATATATTTACATATATATATATGTGCGTATATGTATTTATATATATATATATTTATATATATATTTATATATATAAATATATATATTTATATAAATATATATATTTATATATATTTATATATATATATATATAAAATTTGTTTAAACGTGCAATCAATTTACAAATACATGAATTATTCACACAAAACTAATGCAAAGGTTAATGATTTAAATGGCAGAGACATCCATCATCGCAAACAATTCAAATAGTACACAAAAACCTCGAGATCCGTTATGATGAATTGATCCTTGTTTATATAAATTTCTGCCGTTTAGTTGTTATTTTTTTTACTTATTTCGTCTGTTCCTACAGACATCTTCAGGTATATAATAGATGTTGTTCTTTTTTTTCTCTTAGTAATAAGAGGACATCGAAAATATATGTGTTATTGTATCCGAAATGCTATTGAAAATGAGTTATTGGTTTTTGAACGCGCCAAATTTTGACAGTAAAATTTACCAGTAAAAATTTGTTCATCACCATATTTGGTATAAACGCAAACACTTTAAAAAAATTTAAAATCAAACTCAGCGTTGCTTTGGCGACAGCCATAGTATCACGTTTTGTTTAAGGAGTTTCGTAACAAGCACACAATAAACGTAGGCGAAAACCAGAAGAGATGGCGAGCGAGCGGACGAACGAGAAATAGAGAAAGAGAGATAGAAAAAGAAAGGGAGAGAGATAGAGAGAGATATAGAGAGAGATAGAGAGAGATAGATAGATAGATAGATAGAAAGAAAAGAAAGAAAGAAAGAAAGAGACAAAGAAAGAATGAATCAAAGAAAGAAAGAGACAGAGAGACAAAGAAGTCGAAAGCGAGACATTTATTTTTCTTGGTAGCGTGACCTTTTTCATTCATCCGTTTCGTGTCATCAAACGACAAAAGCAAACAAAAACAAATAAATAATTAGCATCAAACAGAAAATGATTAGAACGGGATTGAACCCCGGAGAACACCACTTGAGTCGTTCACTATGAACCATCCGCAAAGGTCTCGAGGCGGCTACAGATATTTAAAATCACTTTGATAACCGGGGCAATTTCGTCACTCATGAAATTCATGGTATCAGGAGATTGTCTTCAGCTATTCCCCACCTTCTTTAATCTCAGGAGCTTAAATGAATCTGACCACGTAGGTCATGATAGGTACTTTTCAGACTTCAGTCCTTCCAATGTCCAGTCACTTATAATTCCTTTCTTATCTACTATGGTATTTAGTGACATACTAGAACTATTTTTCGGGCACTTATCATCTGTTTTCATTAGATATGGGGCGAGAAAAAAAAATCCGGAGTAGAATAAATGAATCAGGAATTAAATGAATGAATAAATAAACTCTCGAACGGCTGGGTCATTTCTCCGAAAGGCTTTATCAAAATACAGATATCGTAGAAGAATATACATACATACATACATACATATATATATATACTCTTGGGAAAGGTGTGAATCCTCTTCTTCTCCCTCCAACTATGGATAAATAGCAGGACAGACTGGGTTCTATAGCCTTGGATCGCAACTGGTCTAGGAGAAGGACAACTCTGAATTCAAAACCTGCGGAGGGTCGTTTGGGAACCTTGTGGCAGGTAGAGCACCAGGTCTCTGTATTCGGCCCTTCAAAAAGTGTGGATGGTCCTGAACGAAAACTTCACCACTATAATCAAATCTCATGTGCCGTTGTCGGGCTGTCGGTTTCCTGGGAACTGATCTGCTTGACCCTCATACGTCGAACTCGACGGGAGAGACTATATATATATATATATATATATATATATATATATATATATATATATATATATATATATATATATATATTTAGGCAGCAATTTTTCATTAATGCATGTTTCATTATATAATATAGACAGGTTTTGTCTATTTATTTTAATTAAGTTTCTTTCATATTGTCTGATAATCTTAATCACAGTATCATTGGAAAACGAAAGGAAAACACCATTTTGATACATGTTTAAATCCAGTCTAAGCTTTTGGCTTGCACAAGCCATTATCAAAGATGACAATTTCAATAAATCACCACGTCTACACACGGACGAAACAACAATGATAGTCCGCCCTTGCTGCATGAAAATTTCCAAGTAACGACAAACTCGTATATACGAGACGCTGAAACAAAAATCGCGTCGCAACTCGTGACGTCACACATTACCACACGAGAGTGAAAGACGAGAAGTATTAAGTATGGGAAGCCGTTGGTATAAAACAATGGCTTCTGTTATAAATTATAGGCATCTAAGGATATTTGTGGAGCTTTCATAGTTTATTTTGTTTAGGTTAGTTTTCAACTGTTTTATGTATAAAGCTTTAAGAATTTTTAATTTTTGTTTATTGTTTAAATATTTAAGTATAGTTGTGATAAAGCTTATTAGACAATATGAAAGGAACTTTAAATAAATAGATAAAACTTGTCTATATTATTTAATATATATATATATATATATATATATATATATATATATATATATTTTTGTATTGATGTGAGTTTAGACCTGGATTTCACGCCCTTGCAAACGTCACTTTGATGATCGCAAGGACGTGAAATCTAGGGTAACACATTAACATCAATACACCTAACTATGTTAGCTCTATCACCGATATTGGGCGAAAAAGGCCGAAATGTTGTGATAAATATGGCGACAAAGATGAGGACAATAGACCGAATAATGTAAATAGTGTACATAACACCTCATCTCAGAAATATAGAGATGTGTATCATTTTTTTTCACTTCCCAACATCGATTATGATCCATGTGACACTTCCCCGATTACTACAATCTTAAGCTGTTCATGTCTAGGGTTAACCGTTGTCTTTTTCCGATATCCGCATAAACTGGACCTCTTATTTTGTAATCCACTACCTTGAATTACCCTCGAGCCTTGTTCAGCGTAAAAAATCATTGTAATTAAAAAAGAAAGAGAAGAAAACACCAACAAATCAATTAGAGTGTGGGCTGTCTGGGAAGATAGTTGATTATGTTATCAACTAAATGTGTCTTTCAATTCTCCTGATATGAATATAAAATAGAAATTGGCATCTAATGAATCGCGTCATTCAAGTTATACAAAAACCTTTTTTTTTTAAAGTTCTAGACCCAAACTTTCAGTTTCTAAGGATCAATTATCAAGGTTTTTCTTTTGTGGATGGAATCGTTTTTAATCTTTTTTTTATCTAGAATATATCTGGCGAGGAGGAGAGAAAGAGAAAGATGGGTAGAGAGAGTGAGGAAGAGAGAGAAAGAGAGAGAAAGAGAGAGGGGGACGACCACTAAAATCTTAAGCTGTTCACGTCTAGGGTTAACCGTTGTCTTTTCCAGATATCCGTATAAGCTTTGCCTCTTACTCTGTAACTCTCTAGCTCGAATTACCCTCGAGCCTTGTTCAGCGTAAAAATCATTGTAAACGAAAAAAAAAAAAAAAAAAAAAAACACCAACAAGTTAATTAGGGTTAATGTCACCATTGACATCGATGTGAGAGATGAAGGTTTCCAGACCTGGATGGCTTTGGTGGCTTAAGGAAGATTCTATATTTCCTAGAATGATATTTCACCTTTCTACGTGATGCCCACGACTTCAGAGTGGGATGGCTGAGAATGTAGCTGATTATCTTAGCTACGAAATGCTTTTTTTCTAGGTCTCCTGATGTTAATCACCTGGAATATATCTGGCGATGGGGGGGGAGAAAGCGAGAGAGATGGGTAGAGAGCGTGAGGTAGAGAGAGAAAGAGAGAGGGGGAAGATCACTAAAATCTTAAGCTGTTCACGTCTAGGGTTAACCGTTGTCTTTTTCAGATACCCGTATAAGCTTTGCCTCTTACTCTGTAACTCTCTACCTCGAATTACCCTCGAGCCTTGTTCAATGTAAAAATCATTGTAGTAAAAAAAGAAAGAAAACACCAGCAAGTTAATTAGGCTCAACATCACCATTGACATCGAGGTGAGAGACGAAAGTTTCCAGACCTGGATGGCTTTGGTGGCTTAAGGGAGACTCTATACGTCTGTTGTAGAGTAGTTTTCGCAGTGGAGGCTTGTATTTCACTAAGTCGGTCCTACTAAAGGTTCGACGTAGAAAACGTTAGGAACTTGAAATAATAGACGCAGCAATCTAGTTGTGGTGGTTGATACTTCAATGTCCGACATCGACTGACTCACTCAACTCCACTGAGCCCCCTGGCGACTGCTACTACTACTACTTATTATCTGTGGGAGAGTCTAGTAACAATAGAATAGGTATGTTCCGGTATAACAACTTCCCAGCAGGATACTTCCTCCTTCCACGTGATCCCCAAGACCTCAATATGGACTGGCTCAGAATGTATTGGATTGGTGCTTAATTATCAGGCGTTTTTATAGGCGCGTTATTTGTTCATAAAAATTGCTGTTTTGTTTACTTTTGTAAAAAAAAAAAAAAAATTATTTTCAGATTATCAAAATGCGTGTCGATAATCATACTCTCCGGAATAATCCTTTAAAAATGTTATTGTTGAAATCTTATGTTTCATTTTTCATAATAAATATTGTTTAAAAACGCCTGATAATTATGCACCAACCCAATAACATTATGTTTTCCACAAAATGCGTCTTTCGAGCTTTCCTGATATCAATCACCTGGAATATACCTGGGGAGGGGGAGAGAAAGCAAGAGAGATAGATAGAGAGCGTGAAGAAGAGAGAAAAAGAGAGAGAGATGGATGGAGAGCGTGAGGAAGAGAGTAAAAGAGAGAGATGGATAGAGAGCGTGAAGAAGAGAGAGAAAGAGAGAGAGATGGATAGAGAGCGTGAAGAAGAGAGAGAAAGAGAGAGATGGATAGAGAGCGTGAAGAAGAGAGAGAAAGAGAGAGATGGATAGAGAGCGTGAAGAATAGAGAGAAAGAGAGAAAGATGGCTAGAAATCGTGAAGAAGAGAGAGAAAGAGAGAGATGGCTAGAGAGCGTGAAGAAGAGAGAGAAAGAGAGAGATGGATAGAGAGCGTGAAGAATAGAGAGAAAGCGAGAAAGATGGCTAGAAATCGTGAAGAAGAGAGAGAAAAAGAGATTCGGAAGTTCAATACCATCTTAAGCTGTTTACGTCTAGGCTTAACCGTTGTCTTTTTCAGATATCCGTATAAGCTTTGCCTGTTATTCTGTAATCCACTACCTTGAATTACCCTCGAGCCTTGTTCAGCGTAAAAATCGTTATGGTAAAAAAAACACCAACAAGTTAATTAGGGCCAATGTCACCATTGACATCGAGGTGCTAGATGAAGGTTTTCAGACCTGGATAACGTCGGTGGCTCAAGGGAGATTCTGTATTTCTCAGCAGGATATTTCACCCTTTCACGTGATCTCCACGACCTCAGAGTGGGCTGGCTGGGAATATCGCTGATTATGTTAGCCACGAAATGCTTTTCTCCTGATGTTAATCACCTGGAATATATCTGGTGGGGGGGGGTGAAGAGATAAAGAGCGAGTGATGGGTAGAGAGAGCGAGTGAGAGAGAGGGAATGAGAGAGAGAGCGAAAAAGGAAGACAGAGTGAGGGAGTGAGAAAAAGAGAAAGAGGGGGTGTCCAACGTTTTTTTTTTTTTTTCTGCAGGAATTTTCTTGTTTTTATCTACAGATCCAAAAGTCACTGCCTGAACCACTTTTCAAGGGACACGACGCACCTGTCACAGATGACGTCACCAGAAACACGACTAACAACGTTTCTTAAAACAAACACAACCCCGTGAATTCAATCACGCGCTCATAGAACGAGAAAGAGAGAGACAGAGAAAGAAACATAAAGATAATACCATATATATATATATATATATAATTATTTTTTATAAAAAAAATTATAACATAAGTATGTTATAAAATCATTTGATTTTATAACATACTTATGTTATAATTTTTATGATTTTATAACATACTTATGTTATAATTTTTTTATAAAAAATAATTATATCTGCTCTACTTTGTATTGAGCACTCTTTTAAGAATAGTAATTGTTGGTTATTGGAATTCATTCCGTATATACCAATTATATACTTGTATATATATATATATATAATTTTATATCCGCAGTATTAATTGGAAACTGCTCAATATCAGTGATAGAGCTAACATATCCATATAACTGATATATATATATATATATATATATATATATATATATATATATATATATATATATATATATATATATACACGGATTATAAACAAATTCAAATTTCCATAACATAGGTTTAACAATTATTAACTACATTTCCATAATTTTCACTCCCCCTCTAACACTTCAAATGTCAAAAGTATAACTAATTCTAAGTTCTATATTCTCCGCCGCTATAACTTCTTTACAATATATTATTTATAATCTATAAACTTTCCCCTACTCTAAGATCTCCCCAACTCTCTTTCCATTAATCCCTTACATTCTTTTATCTAAATATATTTGAAAGTTTTTTTAAACCTCTTTTTATTCCTCTTTTAATTTTAAATTAATATTTCATTCTTCATATACCCCCAAATTAATGTCATATTCGGATTTAACTTTATAAAACTTCTTCCCTTTAAGACAAATACCTTCCACTCTCTTCTGACTCCTGACTCGTGCCTTTCGTCTGAATGAAATATTGAAATGGCTAATTTCTGAATTGATTTTTCGACTGTTTTTTTTTTTTTTTTGAGCTGACTTGAACTCAGACTACAACATGTTTGATGTCTTATCGCCCATCATCCTCGTCTGCTGAAATAGACTATCCCCCATATGAGGTGATTTGGGACTTCATTGTTTATTAATATATATATATATATATATATATATATATATATATATATATATATATATATATATAAGGCAGGATATGTGTGTGTGTGTAACGAATGCACGGCCTCAATTTTCGACGGATTTGCACCAAAATTTACATGCACATGCTCCAAGTTATGGGAAGGTCAAGACCGACGTTGCATTTCCCAACTTCCATCGATAGTGGAAATAATCGACCTTTTCATGCTTCTACGGCAGTTTTCGTGTAGCTTGCTGCCATTTTCTACTGGCCAGAGTGAGAGCTGGCTTCTGCGAATAGGCAGGAAGATTCTATTGGCCAGCATGGGAGCCAACAGCTGACTGACACGAATGTTAACTAGCATGCTAGCAGGCAAAAAAAAATCGATAGCTGCATTCGTCACAAGTGGGAAAAATTTAAATCTGCATGGCACTTTAATCCAATTGGCTCATTCGCTTGCTTAAACTCAACGTTGATTCTGATTCCACAGAACTGGGTTGGGTGTGAAAAAGTATTCGTTGTTAACATTCTTTTTTCATTCTGTTTTTCCAGTTACGAGTCCTTTTTTTAAAGCTGATCGTTTTGTGTTCATTTTGTTTAGTTCTTTTTTTCGTAACAGATTTAATGTTTAGTATAGATCTTAGAAAAAATTCGCAGTGTGAGATTGGCAAGAAGTAAGGCATGTAGCAACATCAGCACGGCAAAGGACACTCCTTTAAAGGCAAGGAAGGGCAAACATATGTTAAGTCAAGTGATAGCGATTGCTGTACGAGTCGTACAATTTTTGATTCAAGCACGGGCTATGCTGCTAGTATATATATATATATATATATATATATATATATATATTATGGCGCAAAAAAATCCATAATATTTACGCGGCATATAAAGTGTTTACTCAAATATGAGCATCCACTAAAAATAACGTTTAGTGTTAACAATCTGTTGAATTAATAAATAAAAATGCCATGACTTATATATAACCTCTTCACACTATATAATTGATAAACTTTCCCCCTCCTCTAATATCTCCCCAATTCACTTTTCATTAATCCCATACATCCTTTTATCTATATATTTTAAAGTTATTTTTAAACCCCTTTTTATTTCTCATTTAATTTAATATTTAATTCTTCGTATAACACCAAATTAATGTCATATGGTTAATATTTAGGTTTAATTTTAGAAAACTTCTTCCCTTTAAGATAAATACCTTCCACCCTCCCCTGACAACAGTCTCGTACCTTTCGTCTGACTGAAACATTGAAATGGAGAAATTCAATATTAGTTTTTCGGCTGGTTCGCGTTTTTTTTTTTCAGTTTTCACAGTTAAATTTCAATTTCAGACACGGACTGAGTCCATACCGGGGTTGATAAGACAGACGACCAATATCTTCGTCTGCCGAAATAGGCTATTCCCAATATGAGCTGATTTAGGATTTAGGATTTTATTGTTTATTAATTATTTGCTCTGTAATAATAAATACATTGAGCTCTTTTTGTGGATCAGTTTTAATGTTTTATATTATTAGGATCCACTTGGATTATATAACAACGGATTTGTTACCTTTACTCTACACACAAACAAACACACACACACACACACACACACATATATATATATATATATATATATATATATATATATATATATATATATATATGTAAGCAAATATATGGATATAGATTCGACAGTATGAAGAAAAATATATACGGAAAAAAACAAAGGCTTTCCCTTATTAACTTCCACCCAACCGTCCCTAAAATTTATGGTCTCCCCAAAACCCATAAGCCTAACATTCCATTAAGGCCCATCATCTCGGGTATAGGCTCAGCTCCTCATAATATCGCTAGGTATTTAACTAAATTTCTAACTCCAATCATGGGCATCATAAGTAACGCACATATAAAGAATTCTAAATAAGTTGAGTGATATTGATATAGGTAACAAATCCCTAGCTAGCTTAGACATTAAATCTTTATTTACCAATATACCTGTTGATAAATGTATTAAACGTTTAGAGAACCACCTTAAGAAAATTGATTTTAAGCTACCTATCTCTATCTCGAAATGCATCAAATTATGCATCCTATGCACTTCACATTGTTTCTTCCAGTATAATAGTATTTATTATAAACAGAAATTTGGTTTACCAATGGGGAGTCCTCTCTCTGGATTCCTAGCATGCATATTTCTAGAATTTCTTGAATCTGGACCTTTTAAACATGTCATTCCAAGTGATACACATTACTTTCGATACATCGATGACATTTTATTTATCTACCCACATAAACATGATTTAAACGAGATTACTGATAGATTAAATAAAATAGAACCTACTAGAGAATTTACCTATGAACTTGAATCTAATAATTCTTTATCTTTTTTAGACATACTACTTATTAAAAATAAAAATAAAAATAAATTAGAATTCAAAGTATATCGTAAACCCACATGTAAAAATGTCTATTTACACTTTTACTCTCACCATGATACTAGCACTAAGAGGGGTATTATTATTGAATTCTACTTAAGGGCTCTTCGCATCTGTTCAGCAAAATATTTAGATTATGAATTCAGATATATTGAGGATACCTTTTCAAATCTTTCGTATCTGAGACAATTATTACTGAGAGCTAAAAATAAAGCGTTGAAAATTCACTCATCAGCGCAAAATGACACCTTGAAGGCCACTACAACTACATCAGTGGAAGGTACACTTTCAGCTGCCCCTGATAATAATTCTTTTGGTCGCATCTTTCTACCAAATAACCATTTGACCGAACGTATCTCTAATAATTTAAATGCGTTAAAAATCAAAACTACAATATTACCTACTAGAACTATCCGTAGTTTATTAAATAGCACCAGCAGACAACATATTCCATCCGATGCTTGCATCTATCAAATCTCATGCAAAAACTGTCACTTAAAATATGTGGGTGAAACATGTAGGTCCGCAAAATCTCGTGTTTTCGAACATAAACGAGATATTCGCCTTGGCAATTTAAACAATGCTTTAGTTGTACACACAACTAAAGCAGATCATAATTTTGATTTTGATTCCGTAAAGATTTTAAAATATTTTCGTAATAAAAATCTTAGGCGGATTTATGAAGCAAGCATAATATCCATCTCACGCACGGTGAATACTAGACCTGGCTTCTTTAGTATTTCCCCTTTTCTAGCGAGATTAATGCTCGACAAGCGTACATATGAATTTTAGTTCAAAATAGAATTCTTTTCATTTTTCATTCAAAATACTCAAAATTTTAGGAATACGTTTTCACAGCGTCGCCCACGTGACGACAACGTGACCATGTTTTAAACGAAGCGCTGATCTTATAAAACTTTTAGTTATTTGTTTGGATAAGTCTTGTTCTTATGTACATCGTCTTTGTCATGTTTAATTGATAATGTTATATTTATGTCCTGAAGATGGTTTATTAGACCGAAAAGTCAGACGTTGACATATTAACATTAAAACAGCATAATTGTATATAAAGATTTTTGTTTGTTTTTTCCGTATATATTTTCTTCATATATATATATATATATATATATATATATATATATATATATATATATATAATGATAAAATTAGAGGTTAACTTATAAGTAAAATACTCACTATCATAGATAAAGCGTATTGAAATATAAAAATGTATACAGGGGTCAACATCAAGTGGCGACAATCTGTTTCCTCCTTGGGCACAATGTTAACATCACTATAAAATATCACACGTTAACAAAACTATAAAATTGCAACAAATAACTGCATTATGGTCCACAATTATATCTGCTCAGTAGCCTCTAGAATTATTTGAAACTGTCAAGATAATGTAATAGATCACACTACCCATAATATACCACTAACAAATATATATAAACAGTCGGGCGAAAACACATATGGCCTTTTACCATACGGTCAGTTTTAGACCCACTCGAGTGACAGGGTGTAATCGATTTCTATTTTTCCTCAGATCAGGCCATTTGCAGTGGTGTGCAGTGATATGAATCTATTTTCGAGCTGTATGATCAAACTTGTTTGGCCTTGAAAAATATTGCATCATACATCATTGTATCAGAATAATATCACTCCCAGACACTATTGTCACGACTGTCGATTAGTTGTCTTACGGTCATTTTTCTATGATGGACGTTACTCTAAGGAAGCGTACGAAAATTGTAATGCTGCACGAACACACTGGCAAGCCTTACCCGTGAGCAAATCAAAGTACTATAGACTGATGCGGAAACTCTCCTGATTTAAATCCAATCGAGAATCTATGGTCGATCTGCAAAGACTTCGTGAAATGGGCGTACGAACACACTGGCAAGCCTTACTAGTGAGCAAATCAAAGTATTATAGACTGGCCCAGAAACTCTCCTGATTTAAATCCAATCGAGAATCTGTGGTCAATCTGCAAGGAAGGACTTCGTGGAATGGACATACGAACACACTGGCAAGCCTTACCAGTGAGCAAATCAAAGTATTATAGACTGGCCCAGAAACTCTCCTGATTTAAATCCAATCGAGAATCTATGGTCAATCTGCAAGGAAAGACTTCGTGGAATGGACGTACGAAGTACTAACATGTACACTGGGTCATGTTTCATTGGAAAAATACGAAAAAAATAACGGAATTATTTGTTTTGTTTCAATTAATTTGCATGAGGATGGACAAGACTAGATATATCTGGGTATGGACATCGGAGCGTGAAGAATCGATCTCTGTAGATTGAATAAAGTCTTCAGTTTGGATCGATAGATACATGAATATCTGTGAAGGGCACAATGAGCATAATGTTGTGATAAAAACAATAAAGATGAAATACAATGTCACAAAGCTGCCAAAAGCGCTTGAGATATTTGTGCTGCGTACGAAGATGACATCGTTACCGACAGAACGACAGAGAAATGTTTTTTTTTTCCGTTTCAAAGAGAAGTTCGAACTCACAGTCTCTCCGCGTTCTTGCCGACCTATTCAGTTTGATGAGAACCATTTGCAGGCACAGATTAAAGAACTTCGCCAGACCCGTAGGGAATTGGCTTAGAAGATGGCAAGCTCTCATATTACTGTCGTTCGTCATTTTCACTCAATGGGTATGGTCCAAAAACGCGCTGTGCCACACGCATTGACAGAGAGAAACAAACTCCAGTGTTCCTCCATTGCCGCCAGCCTATTCGTGGATACAAAGAAAGATTCCTTTATCGTATAAACACCGGCGATAATAAATGGTGTCTTTGCGTGAATAGAAAGCAGGGAAAACAATACACTGTTATATGAGCCATCAGAACTACAGTAGGATCTCTGACAACCGGACTAAGAAGGCCTTCCGGATATGAGGAATTGGTTACAAAGTCCGGATATAAGGGGTTAAATTTAGATAAAAGACCTGAAATCAGGTTTATCATTTATTTTCAATGTTTTATAATAAATAAAATAAGCTAATGGTGGGTGAAATAGAAAGGACTTGTTTTTAAGGAAAAAGAAATAAATTGTGTTATGTTAATGAAAATTCATTAAATTAAGTATGCCACGTATGCGAAACAAATAATGTAACGAGGATTTTTTAATCGCTGTTGGATGATGATTCTTTTTCTTCTAATGTCATTTTTAACTTTTTTCGCGTTTCGTTTTGCTTTCGTTCTTGGAATTTTTTAAACGAAAGACGATTTTTTATCTCTGCGTACGTTATTGCAATCAACATATTTGAATGCTGGCTTTCTTTCCATAAAACTGACAACCTTTTCAATAGCTTTTTCAATTTCAGTCCAGGTTTCATCACAATCATGTTTCTTTATATTTTATTGTTCATTGTGACAGTGTGAACGCTGGAGAATAGTTTCTTTGGAAAATTTTATATCATACAATGTCGACTTTCCTATGTTGAACTCAGCCATTAGTTACAATGAACTTTCACCAGCGTCTAGTCTGTTTAAAATGTCCACCTTTTGTGATAACTCCAAAGTTGTTCTTTTCCTCTTATTCCCATCATCCTTTGCACCAATACAAGCCATAAGGGTGAAATAAACATAAGCAATTATCCAAAGTAAATTTCCTGAAAAACAGACATTTGAAATCAGTTACATATCACCCAAATAGTTCAAAATACACATCAAAGTCATGTCCGGATATGCGGGATTCCGGATATGAGGCACTGCGGATATGAGAGATTCTACTGTATTAATAAACAATAACTATTAAAATAAATTATAAAAAAAAAACAACGGATTTATGTCATAACTTAATAGAAGAAAAGGAATATTAGCCATGGGTTGAAATATCTAATGTTTCACTTCATCATTACTTCATCATTGTAATACATTCTGGATATAATCACGGATACTAAATTCACATGAGAGTCTGAGAAAAAAGTTATTGCATTATCGTTGCAAAATTTTGTGCCTGATTAGAAAAAAAATTAATAGTCAAGTAAATAGGTTCTATTGTTTATAAAAATTGATTCCCATCGTCCTACAGAATTGTTTATATCATTTTCATGAACAGCCTACCCACGTACATTAAATAAATGGATCACTTCCGAATTCCCTGTAAGTTATCTATAGACCTGAGGAAGAGCAGTGGGCATAAATGGCCGAAACGTTATGATAGAAATAACAAAGATGAGGACAACAGTCTTAATGTAAATAGGATAAATAAGTATTTATTTCTCTTAATCCTTTACCTTTCACTTCTTGATTTTATGAATTGTTTCTTTTATAACTGAAAATAAATATACAATCTTAATTTTCGGAATTCATCGTATTAAAATGAAGAAAATTCTTTCAGTTATTCTATTTTTTTTTTCGCATTCCTGGTATGAATACAAGAGTTGCGAATAGAGTTAACCCTGCCAGCATGGAAACAAATTGTCTGTTTTCTTTTTTAAATATATAAATAAATTCCCAATAAAAAGAAAATTTCCTATCAAGAATTTGATGTCGAATATTTTCTAAAAAATTTAATTTATCTTCTCAGTAACTGAAAATCCGAGATCCGATTTTTTTCTTTTTTTTTTAACATTTTAATTTTTACTACTTTCCTCAATCATGATTTATTTTTCATTTTTTTTTTATTGGAAGAAGATTCTGAGGTAGATTTCGACTGACTGTAGTTAGTCAAATTTTCGGTCATTTAATTTTTGAATTAGAAATCGCTGGAGCATGTTCTGTTCCGTCAAAACTCACATGTCGAGTTTGAAAATGAACTCAAGTCTCTCCATATAAGGAAAGGTTATTGAGGAATCGATTTTCAAACTCTTAGTAATCTCTTCCTTCAAAATCTTCGGTTATTTTGTCCACGAATGCAAACAGCAACTTCACCAACGCCAGAAGGTCGCCTAGAGAACGATTGATCGTTGAGATCAAAATTACTCTGACGAAATAATGGTTTATTAATAATTTTGGCAGTGTTATATTAAATTGCCGCTTAGAAAGAGGTCATTAACAATCGAATTACAGTGAAGAATCCAAGCATTAGATGCCTCTAGGTACCACCTTCTCAGGCTGCATACCAAATGACGCTTGGCAAGTCAGCGTTAGATAGGAAACGGACGCATTAGAAGACCTCATATCAATTGTCAAGAAATGCAAGTTAAAATGTTATGGCCAACACTCTTTCCACCTCCATCCATTTCTAATGTCTTAATCGCAGGTCTGATCGGTTCGATAAGGTCAAATTAGATGTTGATCTAAAAAATGACCTACAATCTGTTGTTAACTGGTGCAAAGAATGGCTTGTTAATGTTAA